GGAGAGGCCGACTTGCACCCCAAGTTCCCCGACGGCACAGGCCGCGCGTGGCACCACCTTCCGCTCACCGAGGGCACAGGCCTTCTCCGCAGCTGGCCAGCTGGCCGGGGCTCTGCCTGGCAGGACCACCCCGGGCCCTGGGCCAGCACATCTGCTGGGCTGCGGCCCTGAACCCAGTGGGTCCGAGGTCCCGGCCTGGTCTGCAGGTGGAGTCAGTGCTGGGACCAAAGGTGTGAACTCCGTCTGCCCAGGTCCCTCCACCTTCTCCTCGCCGTCGGATCCCTAGGGCTGAGCCCCAGATGCCCCTGCAGTCCCCATGGTTAGACGTCAGAGTAGGGCTCCCACAAAGGGACCCGGAGCCCTGTGTGCCGGGGTGCACCCCCTCCACGTCTAGGGTCTGTCAGCTGCATCCTGTCCGGGAACAACAGCTGTGAGTGGTTTTCAGGGAGGGGGGCAAAGTCAGGACTCCTGTCACCGTCTAGGTGGTGTCACTCCAAGAATTTTTTCATCCGACCTAAATCAGGGTGGAAAACCTCTTCCTGTTCGGTACGAGGGTTATCACCATCTTACTTCCCGTGGAATCTGACTTTCAATTCGTTTGGAAACATAGGTGTGATATTTTACAGAATGAAATCACTGCCCCTGTATTTAATTAAATGAACCCTATAAAAGTTGGTTTTTCCAGGGGCATAATTTACAGCAGGCTGCCTTTTAAATTGCGTTCACACGGATACCGGGTCATTTTCGCTCTGATGGAAATAGAGGTGATCACAGGCGCTGATCCTCAGGAACCAAATGTCTTCCCATAAAAAGATACTTATTTTTTAATTTGGAGAGAACGTGGGCTGTCGTTTCCAAACATCATATTAAAAACATTCTGAGCCCTGGCCAGGGTGGCGGTTGGAGCGTCAGCCCGGGCACTGGGGGGCTGTGGGTTCAATTCCTGGTCAAGGGCACGTGCCTGGGGTGCAGGTTCGACCCCCACCCTGGTCAGGGTGTGTGGGAGGCTACAGTTGACGTGTCTCTCCCGTCGATGGGTTTCTTCTCTCTCCGCCCCTTCCACTCTCTCTGAAAAATCCGTGGAAAAAACATCCTCTGGGGAGGGTGAACCACCCAGAGATGTGTGGCCTGAGCTCCCACCTGCGGCGCAGAGAGCTGCAGGGCTCCTGCCTCGAGAGGTGACGCGAGAGGTGTGTGGCCAGCTCACTGGTGGGACTTCTGGGTGGACAGTCCAGCCTCGTCCCGGGTTCTGGGCCAGCCGGCGTCATCCGAGAGCCGTCCGGCCACCTCTTATCTGCTCCTGCGTGCTGAGGGCTCACGGTCGCCCAAGAAATTCTTCCAAGTGGGCGGCTGTGAGCCAGGAAGGGGCGAGTCTCAGTGACCCCAGCAGACCCTTCGGGACGAGCGGGTGACTAGAGAGCGGACAGGTGTGTTGTCAGTGAAATGTGCCCCCAAGTGGACAAAGCCCAGCCCGGCCCGAGTCCTCAGCACCTGGACAAGAGGCGTGTGTGCCCTGGGGCAGCGGCGGCACCTGCACCTGCCTCAGTGGGACCCGGAGGGTCCTGCACCCTCCGCCTGACTGTCTGGTCTTGGATGGTGCAGTGAGGGACCCCCGAGGCCCTTGGCGTCAGGGCGCGCCTGTGATGTTTGCGCACAAACCGATGGGATTCCCTTCGTAATTGCACCTACGTCCCAGGGGACCCGCCAGAGCCTTGGGCGAATAACGCCCGCGTCGAATTGAGAATAAAGATAAAGTTTGCAGTCAGCGTTGTCCAGACCTCCCGTCCGCTGGTCTCAGAGCCGCGTGAACGGCGGTAAATGCAGTCTGCACCATCGGGAGTTAATGACCCCGGATCTGACCGGGCCAGCGTCCCTGGATGGCATCGGCCGCGGCCAGTGCTCCCCGGGGAGAGGCTGTCATTCTCGGGGGGCTGGCAGCGTGAGTCATCGCCTCGCCGAGCCCCTCGGTGATTGGATTCTATGATGACAACGTGATGAGTGTCGTGTGCACAAGGTAATTCAGAACGAATCTGGCTGCGCAAATGGGTCGTCTGGGCTGGTGAACTCCGCCGCGCCTGCCGTCTGTCAGCGGAGTTCGTGGCCGTGTCCGGTCCTGTGGAATTTGTCTGTGGCGCCCCCTGCATGACCCTACCTGTCTGAGGGCGGGAAGGGTTCCCCTGGGTGCCATGCCGGGAACGTGGGTGCTTCCCTGTGCGGACGTGTCTCCCGGCCCCCAACGCAGTGCATCTGCTTCTTTGAGAGACTCTTTTCTCCCGGGAACATGTGACCATCTGAGAGGGTCCCCGTTACACTGGTTTCTTGGTAAATTCTTGTTGTTTGCATGTTAGACGTTAGACGCAGATGATCTCATTACACTTGGTAATACCCCCAGCGGCACTGGGGGACACCCGGAGAGAACAGTTAAATCACCCAGAGCCCTGAGTCAAGATTCCAGCCTCGGCCCAGGCCCAGGCCCAGAGTTGGGGTCCCTGTGCCCACCATCCCTGAGCAGGGGGAGGCCACCTCTGGGAGGCTCATTTGGACGGTGTGATTAACGCATGTGCGGCATTGGCTGCTGGAATGTTCCCTCCGCACAACGGTCAGAAGCGGGTCCTCCCAGCCTGAGTGTCGTCCATGGACCAAGGGGTCCCGGTCCGATTCCTCATCAGGGCGCATGCCTGGGTTTCAGGGCTCGATCCCCAGTGGGGGGCTTGCAGGAGGCAGCCGATTATTTGTCTCTCACATCGATATTTCCATCTGTCTCTTCCTTCCTCTCTCTCGAAAATATTTTTTTAAATGAAGAAAAGCACGTCTGAGCACGTAGCCCTGGTGGTGATGACGTGGGGTGAGGGGCCCACCCCGGGTTTGCTCCTCCCCTGCGGCCTCGGGCCCCCCTCCTGTGAATCATCCCACCCAGGGGAGCTGTTTGCCCTGCGACTCTCCTTGCGCGGGGAGTCCCGTCTCCCACGTTCCCTCGGTATTGATCTGGCCTCAGAGACGGCTCCCACGTGATCCCAGGTGTCCCCGTGAGTCCACAGCCCAGGCACAAAGGGCGTCCCTGCCTGGTGTCCCTGCTTTAAGGAGAAACACACCCCATGTCTCCCTGGCAGACCGTCAGCCTCAACGGCGCCTGCCCCCCACCCTGGGCGAGAGGAGCAGGACCCCAGCCAGGCCTCGGGGTGCTCCCGACGGTGTGGGGGAGGGCAGATCGGGGCTCTGGGCAGTGCCCCCGAGTGGGGGAGGGCAGATCGGGGCTCTGCGGGGGGGCACAGGCCACAAGGAAAGGGAAGGTGCCTGTGGACCAGCTGCCCTCTGAGACCTGCTGTGAGACCCGTGTGCGGACGGCAGACTCGGGACAGCGGCGGAAGGTGCCTGGGAGAAAGGCCGGAGTTTGTACCCAAAGAGCAAAAGCAGAGATTTCCCGTCTTGAGACCATTCAAACGTCCTGATGTCCGAGTCCTTGGTGGCAGAACTGCTCTTGGTGCGAGCCGCCTGGGGCCACCGCGGGCCTCTGCCTCCTCCGGACAGGCCGGCTGCCCGCTGTGTGTGTCTCCCGGCCCTCTGTCCGTCCCATCACCTCCCAGCCCAGCCCTTGGGGTTCCGGGCTCTGAGCAGGGGAGGGGTCGGGAGGTCAACAGGAAAACTCTCTTCTCTCAGAGGAGGCCGAGTGTGCTGAGCGCGTGTCCCACCCTCTGGGTGGGGGCTGGAGGCGGTGGTCCGAGGCTCACTTGTCCAGTGGGGCAGGTGAGCCCTGTGGCCGAGTCCCTGCTCTGCCCAGTTCCCTTGTGACGTAACTAAATGACTTAAGTGGATTGATTCCGGGTCATTAGTGATCCCTCCGGCCTGATTCATCTGGGCTCCATCCCGGTGAAGGAACCGACATCCACTCCTCAGCCCAGCAGCCGTGTCCGCGGAGCTGCCGCCTGAGTCCTTGTCCCCCCAGGACCCGGCGGACGGGTCAGGAGAAACCGGGGCACGGGCTGCAGGGCCACTGGTTCTGCGGCACAGAGACGCCCACGCACTCGGAACCACGCAGGACGGCCTCGGGGTCGGGGTGCTTGGAAGGGGGGGGTCCACTGGCAGGAAAAGGGCCGATGCTCATCTGGGAATAAACACTCCTCTGGGAACGTGTGCGACTAGCGTAAGGGATTCAAACGCAGGACTGCATCGCTGCGCCAGCGAGGGGGACTTGTCATGTTCTCTGCGGGGAAGGCCTGACGCTGAGTGCTTGTGAAGGAAGCACCCCGACCGACTCTCATTCCCTGAGCTTATCTGCCTTCAAGGCAGGCCGGCCGCTTGGGGAAGATGGAGCTGTTTCGGAGCCTGTGATGTTCGCGCCCTCGTCGGGCGCCGCAGGCTGTGGGACCTGATGCCTATTCCTCTGCGGGGGCGGGGGGGTGGGGGGACACGCTGGACTTCCATGTTGCTGGGAGTGACTTCCTGCTCTGGAATCACAGTTCCGGCTCTTGTGTCAGCTGTTCTGGGGACAGCCGGGTGGAGGCGGTTCTGATGGTACCGGAGACTCCTGGACACAGCCTCCAGAGTCTCAGCCGACTGCCCGCCGAGGTGGCCCCGGCCGTTAGGCTGGAGGAGGGCGGTTTGTATGTGACGAGGACCGCAGGGCCCTGTGCCGTTCCCTTGATGTTTCAGTTGGCTTTGTAAAGAAAGCAAAGGGGTTCATTGGCAGAAGGAGCATCACTCCACCCACAGAAGGGTCACCACGCCCCCTGGGACCCTGGGAAAGTGCGCAGCGTCGAAACGCGGCGATGTGGTTGGTGTCTGGACCGATCTCCCCCAGGCGCGATGAGGAAACTTGTTAAAGACATTCCAGCAGGACGTCGCGGGTCCCCGCTGAGAGACTGGTGCTCAGTGCAGGTCCGGTGTGTGCGCCAGGGCCTGCGGGGAGGCCTGAACCCACTCTGCCGGCCCCACAGCCGCCGCCTGTGGAAACACTCACGGAGGCTGCCCGATTAAATCCGGCTCCTAAATATTGTCGACAGGTCAACGGCAAAGACTTGTCCCGGGCGACGCACGAACAGGCGGTGGAAGCCTTCCGGACGGCCCGGGAGCCCATTGTGGTGCAGGTGCTGCGCCGGGCGCCGCGGACCAGAGCCCTCCCGGCGCCCTCAGAGGCCCAGCTGGTGGACACGGGCACCCAGACGGACATCACCTTCGAGCACATCGCGGCCCTCTCCAGGCTGGCCCCGCCCGCCCCGCCCGCGCTGGAGCCCTACCTGCTGCCCGCAGAGTAAGTAGCACCTGGACGGCCCGGGCTCTGCTGCAGCCCTGAGCTCGGCCGTGCACGTGCGGAAAAGACGAGCGTGTCTTAGATTTTCCTCCATTCCTAACTTTATTGTTTATAGAGGCAATAAATTGAATCCTGTGACATGTTAACTGCCTTATTATAACCCCGGAGCAGAGTTATTCAAATTATATTCTAAGAACAAAATTACTTACTAATGTCGTAAAAGTGGTTCCAGAGTAAAAGTCAGTCACCGCCCTGAGGGGTGCGAAGGTGGTGGCTGCTGTGGGAAGGGGAGGGGCTCCTGTGCCGGCTGAGCGAGGCCAGGACGAGCGCGGAGGGGTGCACTCTGCTCTGGGGTGAGGCCCCACTGCCTCCCGTGAGCTCTGGCCGGCCAGGGCAGCAGCAGCTGGTCCTGCACCCTCATCATCCACACGGACTCGGCACCGTCTGCCGCCCAGATCGGCCCAGAGCCCTGCGGTCTGGCTGGTGCTCAGGCTAATGCCCGGCGCCCCTGGGCCGTCCGTCCTGTCCCCGGGGGGCTCCATGTCTCCGCCTGGAAAGGGGGGTGACAGGGCCTGCGGCACAGGGTCCTGGGCGAAGTGCAGTCGCAGGGAAGGCAGCCCCGGCCTGTGGTGAGCGCGGCCTGTCCCTCTTTGGTGATCGGTGTGGGACATTCAGGGAACAAGTGAGGAGCGGGAGGTTCTCTGAGCCTGGCCCCTGGCTCGAAGGCGCGCAGCCCGGTGCAGCTGTGCACGTGGGTCCGCACAGCGGTCAGACGTCCTCGCCGGCCTGGCCTCGCCTGGCTCCCCCGTCCCCCCCACGCTGCTCCGTTCAGGCTGCTCACTGATGCTCGTTTCAAAGGGCCCTGGTCCTCCTCCGGGGACACCTGCGTTACCCCTGTTGGGATTGCATGAGCACCCCGGTAGCCAGAGTGAAGATACACGTCCCGTGTCCCCGTCAGACTCCACAGGCTCCCTTCACCCCTGGCTGTCATCGGAACCAATGCCCAGGCTGGGTGGCTGCAGCCCAGTGTGAGGGCAGGTGTCAGCGTGCGGGGCATGAACAGACAGCTGTGTCCTGTGTCCCCCACACTGTCCTCTGTGCTGTGTCCTGTGTCCCCCACACTACCCTCTGTGCAGGTACCACCTTCCAGTCCTGCTCAGCAGCTGTTGCAGCTGGGTCTCAGGTGTCTCTCCTCAGCCCTCAGGTTGTAACGTGACACCCAGCATCACCAGGTGGTTCTGTGGGACAGCTGGCCAACTCCAAAGTGGGGTCACCCAGACCAGCCCTGACGTCACTGAGCAGACTGATCCCGCTGTGGGGCAGCGTGTCCAGCCACTCTCACCGATGGCCTTGGAGAGGCGAACCCCTAATCTCCTCCCAAGTCTAAGGAATGTGATGTGACGTGTCCCCAAGGGGCAACCTGAGAGATGTCAGGAGTGTGGAGAGGTCAGACCCCTGCAGTTCTGGCTGCGAGGTCAGAAGTCACAGGAGGGCACAGGGCTGCAGGGGGTTAACTGGACACCTGCCGGCCTGGCCTTCCAGCGGCGTCCTCGGCACTGAAGGCCCCTGGCGGGCCCAGGACATTGGAAGCCGGTCCCGCTGGAACGGCCACGCCTGTCTGACCTGCCCTGGGAGCACATACCCGAGGGAGACCAGAGCCCGGTGACCGCTGCACTGCCCCCGGGAGCGGTTCGGTCCCAGCCAGCGTCGGGCCGGGATCTCTGCCTCCCCACCCGGCACCTCCCGGAGCTGCGGGCTGAGTGCGTCTTGCTTTCCTCTGCCTTTGCTCTGCGCGGGTCCATTCAGTGTCTCCAGAGACGAGCTGGTTTCTGAGAACCATGTCCTATAAGCTGTTCTGGAGACAGACAGGCTCAAATCCCCTAGCTGTGTGTGTGTGTGTGTGTTTGCGCCTGTGTGCGTGTGTGTATGTGTGCATGTGTATGTGTGCGCGCGTGTGTCTGCATGTGTGTGTGCGTGCGCCTGTGGGCATGTATGTGTGTGTGCACAGGCATGTGCGCGTGTACATACATTGCACACCTGTATGTGTGTGCTGGGCTGTGACGTTGAACACAGTGTTGTGAGCAGTCAGAAAGTTTGCAGAGACTCTGCCCTGGGGACAGTGCAGGTCTGGTCCAGCCTGTGAACGGGTCTCAGAGCCCCGCCCCTCTGAGTGTTGCCTGAAGTCCCAGCCCCTCTCCCCGGAGAGCAAGTCCTACTGCGGAACAGGAGGCTGTGAGCACGAGCTGGTCTCGTGCTGGAGACTGAGGACCAGGCCTTTGGGTCCCATGACCAGTGCGCTGGGAAGGTTCCCCGAAATAGCAAAGCCAGCCCTGCTCTCCTCGCACCAGACCCCTTTCTGCAGAGGACGGGCTCAGCACAAGCGGTGGGGATGCTGTGGTGGAGGCCGACGGGGCTGGGATCGCACCGAGCGGTGGGGGTCCCCGGGCCCTCGCGGCCACGGCGGCACCCCAGCTCTTCCCTCTCTCTGCAGGCCCTCAGCCCACGGGTACTACGACCCCAGCGACTACCTGGGAGGCCCTCAGGACATGGACAGAGTGGAGCTGGAGCTGGAGGTGAGGCTCATGCAGGGCCACATGAGACCAGTGAGTCTGTGTGAGCACAGACTGGTGACTTCTGGGGAATTTCTCCCAAAAGAACAACTTCCTGCTGTTCCCAAGGCTTCTGGAAAGGACTCTGTGACCGGGCGGCCTCTGGGACCTGCACCTCAGAGACCAGAATCCTTGGTTGTTTCTGGCCTCATAGCCCTGAGGGGGGCTGTGCATTTGCTCAGTTTCTGTAGGTCAGGGTCAGGGAACGTCCCAGGCCCGTGGGCAGACCTGTGCAGGGTGCGGACAAGCGGTGCCTGAGCGAGGGGCCAGGGGCTCGGCGACGGGAAGCCGGCAGGAGCGCTGGCGGCAGAGGTGACTTCACACACCCGGAGCCGGCCTCTCTCCAGGACTTTAAATGAAATGTTTAAACAACATATAAATAGCCCTGGCCGGTTTGGCTCAGTGGTTAGAGCGTCGGCCTGCAAACCATTGAGTTGTGGGTTCGATTCTGGCCAAGGGCACGTACCTCGGTTGCAGTTCGTCCCTGGCCCTGGTTGGGTCATGCGGGAGACAACCAGTCGATGTGTCCCTCTCACGTCGATGTTTCTCTCTCTCCCACTGTCTGAAGATAAATGGGTAAATATCCTCAGGTGAGGGTTATAAACACACAGCTCTGTGCCTTGGGCTGGCTGGCAGGCTCCGTCTGGAGGGGAAGAGCTCGGCCCCACTGCGCTCTCGGAGGGAGGGAGCTCGTGGGCGTCACGAGGGAGGAAAATGTGTGAGGGTGTCGGGCCTCCCAGGACGAAGCAGCAGAGAGGAGCACGTCCTGTCCTTTAAAGCCCACACAGCGACCGCACCTTCCTGAGGGTCAAACCCCTGCTGTCGGGAACCTGCTCCCAGGGGACAGGGTGGTGCCCACGTGCGCCCTGGGGTCCAGCAGCCAGATGCACCCGTGTTTCCACGGCTGAGCACCTGCTCTGGATCGTCCTGTCGGAAGTTGAGAAAGAAGGCAGACGTCTGAACCAGTTATAATTTCCCAGTTGGCTCAGCGGCAGCTCCAGGCAGTGGGTCTGCAGTCACCTGTGTGTTCTGAGGACGTGGTTCTGACGGCGGGCGGGCAGTGAGGTCTCCTCGGGGTGGACGTGCGCTCCCAGCCTGGCCCCAGGCATAGGCCATGCGTTCGGGAGAGTCCTGGAGAGAGCACAGGGTGCCCAGCCCCTCCCCCACCAGCCCCCTGCCCAGGCTCCTCCAGCACCTCCCCGGTCAGCCCACCTACTCCACCCCCCATGTCATGGGGACTTTGTTGTTTGTACCACCACCTGCCACCAAGACCTCCAGCTGCTGCGATCTCGTCCTGCACGGCCCCTCCCCAGTGAGGGTGGACCCCTCTGTTCTTCCTGCCTGTTCTCTGAACCCCACTGGAATCCAGGCCCACAAGCACCAGGCTCTGGTCGGACTCGCTCACACTCCGCCTGCCTGCCCAGCGCTGGCACCGAGCGGCGCCCAGTGAATACGTGTTGGATGAGGAGTCAGTGCCTTGTCACCCTGCCCCAGGGTTAAGGTGAGGAAGACGCAGTCCTTCCGGAGACATGTCCACGTCCACACAGCACCAGGTGGATGGAGAAGGTGTTGAGATGGTTTAAAGACAAGTGCACAGCAGCCCTGGACCCGTACGGCGAAGGAATCCGCCTCCATGACCGTCTCCCTGCAGGTGCACCAGCCACCGATCAGTCTGGGGACACTGAGTGACGCGCGTGGTGGTGAAACAAGACCTGACTCGCCTGGTGGGGGCCTCGTTCCCTCATTGGGCTGTCGTTCCAGCCGAATCCGAAACGTCAGGCTCAGCTGCCCGTCTTCATCCGTGGCCGTCTAGACCCATAAGCAGCCCCGGGGGGGAGCTGTGGTCCCGGACGCCGAGCGTATTCATCCCGGTTCCATGAACGGTCTGGGAGGCCTGAGCCCCTCGTGGCAGACAGACGTGCATCGCAGCGTGCTCAGCGTGTGCTCAGCGTGCGCTCAGCGTGTGCTCCGTGGTGCACGGCTTTGCCTCTGCTGTCAGAATGAATCACAGGATCGACAGCCGCAGTGCTGAGGAGCCCGCGATGTCTGCTCACACGCTGCGCACCACCGGCGTCACTCTCCTGGCCGGGCGTTGCCGTGAGGACAGGCTCGGACCTGGTGACAGCTCAGGATGAAGCTGCCAGCACGGGGCCGCGCGGGGATCTGGGGTCCACAGCCCACCCCTCCCGCACGCAGCTGGAACAGTCCGCCGGGGTGGGCAGAGCTCACAGAGCTGGGTCACGATTCCCAAAATGCAGAAACAAACCCGAGTCCCCACGCTGGCCGGTGGAGCCCTAGCGTCCAGCCCCGCCCGTCCTTGTGCACAGTGCTGTGGGCCCTGCCGGGCCTGGGCACCTGCCGCTCTCCGCTGCTCGGCGTCCGTGGCGTGGGCCTCACAGGAAGGGTTCGGAAGTGGCTGCTACATAACCGCCTTGAGCTTTGCCACAGAAACAGCTCATCCTCACCACCCTCCACGAAGGGCCGGGAGAAAGGAGAGGCCCCAAGACAGTGGGTCCGAGGCCCGTCTGAGCTCCTCCCCGCGGGCTGCGGAGACAACGCTGTGAACCAGGCCGAGGGCTCGGCCCCAGGAGGACCCTGCCAGGCAGCCAGGGCTGCAGGTGCCCCGTGGGAGAGGGCGGCCTGGCAGGTTCCCCGCGGCGCCAGCAGGGGAACCTCGTGCAAAGGTGGGGCCCTGGGCTCACGGTCTCGCCCGGCTCAGCCTTATCTTGCTGCATCCGCAGTGACAGCCGCTGGGAGTATCTTCTGACGGCTGCTGCCGGAGGACGAGCTGCAGCTGCCCCCCCCCCCCCCATCAGTTCACTCGTCTGTGGTCTATTCCTGGGAAGTCCCGGGGATACAACATGAGACGATCTCACAAACACACTGAAACATTGTAGCGAAATGGCTGGGCGGTTTGGGTCTGGACATATTCCTGTGTGGGGCCGACTTTGAAGGAAGGCTTTTTAAAAGCCCTGCCCCCGAAGTCTTCCTGTTGAGTGAAATATGGGTAATTTTTCTTTGGGGGGATCAATAAAATAACTATTTCCAAAACGACTTTGTATCGACTGAGAGGTCAGACATGCGCAGTGATCTGGGTCCATAGTCAGTGTTTGTTTGGTAAGTTAACCCATCAGAGTTGGCCGCAAAGAAATTCAGTTCATCATTTACACAAATTATTTTTTTTAATCTTCACCTGAGGATTTTTTTCCATTTATCTTTAGATAGAGTGGAGGGGAGGGAGGGAGAGAGAGAGAAACATCGACCTGAACGAGACACATAAACTAGTTGCCCCCCCCAACGCGGACGAACCACTTTGGTCTGCGGGCGGACGCTCTAACCACTGGCCAAACCGGCCACGGCGTAAACAAAACCTTTGTAACGCTCTTGCGGTCTGGCCGCTGACACTGCCCGCGGAGCCTCACGCGACGCTCTCCTTCCGCAGGAAGTGGACCTGTACCGGGGGAGCAGCCAGGACAAGCTGGGCCTCACCGTGTGCTACCGCACAGATGACGAGGACGACATTGGGATTTACATCAGCGAGGTAGGACGGCAATTCTTCACTGTCCTGAGGCCAGGAGAGGGGGTCGTCTTCTTTTACGGGTGAACCAGCCTTAACTCTGGCTCCTTGAGAACCTCTGGAAAGACACACATTTCCCGGCCCCTTCGTCACACCCACGGAATGTCGTCTTTAGCGGGTTCGGTTCTGACGCTGGCGCGCACGGCCAGATTGCCCTGAGAAGCCTGCAGATCCCCACAGGATGGTTTGCGTATTCGTCCCCGAGGGAGAGCAGACGGCGTTTCCAGGCTCCTAGTGCCCGGGCGGGGTGCTGGAGTCGCACTGTGTCGAGTGTCCCTTTATCCCTCTCTTCCCTGTGGTGGGACGGGCAGAGCTGAGCCTGTGAGTCCGGTGTACTTCCCAGTGCAGACGGGGATCTTTGCTCATCTGGAGGAGACAGTGTGGCGTCTGTGTCTCAGCGTGGGTTTGGGAAGGTTCGCCGGGAGTGGACCGTCTCTGCAGGACGAACCAGGGGCATGCCAGCGGGGCTCAGGACCTTCCCTCTGGACGCCCTTTGTCCCCCGAGCTTGGTGGTCCATCGCTGCTGCACTCGGGGGCCTTTCTATAACCAGTCCCCGTGTCTCAAGTACACTTCAGTGTTAACGTTAGTTCCCAAAATGTAATGGAAGCAGTTGGTGGCGTCATCAAGGCAGGGTTGCCGGTCACCGTAGTGATTTTCATTTCCGTGCGTCTCGAATCCCCGAGGCCTGTGGGGCCTGTGCACGGGCCCTGGTGGCAGGGTTGCCTCACGGGGACTAAGAACAACCCCGGGAAGAGCTGGGAAACGGGTGAATCCGTGCTTCCTCGCTGGCCGGCGCTGGGTGTTGCTCAGGGACGGCACAGCTGTCAGAGACCCTCCGGGGAGCGTGTTGTATTCGTGTGTCGAGTCATCCACTGTGTGTTCCAGATCGACCCGAACAGCATCGCGGCCAAGGACGGACGCATCCGAGAAGGAGACCGCATCATCCAGGTAGGTCGGCCGTCCGCAGCCTCGGCCACTGCCTGTCACTCGAGAGCGAGCTCGTTCTGATAGCAGCTCAGGGTTGACGGGCAGGGATCAGATGCGTCGTGAGGCCAGACGAGTTGAATTACAGGTGAAGCACAGCTACGGACCGAAACGCACAGGGCTTGGAGAGGACAGGGAGCTCGCTCACCTCGTACTCTCCCGTCTCCTCGGGCCAAAGACGGCACGTGGCTGGGGCGTCAGGCTAACCGTTTGCAACTGGCCAACCAGAGTAATTCTCTTTGCACATTTCTCTGACGGGTCACTTTTGGAGCAAGTGTCTCCTCTTTGGTCTTGTTTTTAAAATGGTAGCATCTCAGCATGTGATGGAACCAGAGGTAGTTCTTCCCTGGGGCCCGCCGCTCCTTCAGTCTAAACGAGGCCATTTCCCCTCGGCCGGTCGTCCCTCATCTCCTGGAAACCCGGGTTCTTCGTTCAGGGTCCCACAGGCTTAGTTTTCCCTCTTCCCCTCTGATCCCGCGTTCGTGTGTCTCATCACACTCACCACCACGAGTGACTGCGGTTTCCACAGCTCATTCCACGTTCCTCAGCCCTCAGCCCAGGCCTCGCTGCTCGGGTCCCCCTGGTGGCGCATCCCCCCCCCGGTGACGTGTCCCCCACTGGTGGCGTGTCCCCCCCGGTGGCGTGTCCCCCCCTGGTGACATGTCCCCCACTGGTGGTGTGTCCCCCCCTGGTGGCGTGTCCCCCCCTGGTGGCGTGTCCCCCCCCTGGTGGCATGTCCCTCACTGGTGGCGTGTCCCCCCCGGTGGCGTGTCCCCCCCTGGTGACATGTCCCCCACTGGTGGTGTGTCCCCCCCTGGTGGCGTGTCCCCCACTGGTGGCGTGTCCCCCCCGGTGGCGTGTCCCCCCCTGGTGACATGTCCCCCACTGGTGGTGTGTCCCCCCCTGGTGGCGTGTCCCCCACTGGTGGCATGTCCCTCACTGGTGGCGTGCCCCAGCCCTCATTCCCCCACTGGGCACGGCCCGTCTGCTCCGGGTCTCAGCAGCCCCCTCCCGTCACTCCAACCAGTGGAGTTGCCCTTCTTGCCTGTTGGCACAGGAGCTGGGGGGAGGCTCAGCTTCCAGCTCAGTGGGACCGTCCCTGTGTCCCCTGGAGGAACCACGCTCCTGGGACCGAAACCTCCCGGCCAGCAGGGCCCCAAACCCTCAGGACAAGCAGCAGACATCCTGCAGGAGGGTCACCAGGTGTGGTGTGGAGAGTCCCTCCCCCGGACTGGGCACACGGACACCTGGTGCAGTGCCCTCCTCCTCTGCCCTCAGCTTCCATAATGTCCCCCTCGGGCTGCTGCTCCCGAATCATCCGAAAATGCCTGTGATCCCGTCTCAGTGCCTCCCCCGGGCACTTCGCCTGGGTCTCCTGTCTGATGGAGTCTCTCCCTGTTCCTTCTCCACACACTTCCTTTCACGGGGCTCGCACGGTGGCACCGGGGGCTGTGTCCTGGGCCCGACTCTGCATCCGTCCGAGCAGCCCCCCCCCCCCGAGAGTCTCTGTAAGATGAAGCCCTGTGTTCTGGCTGCGCGTGGCTGACGGGGCAGGCCTCAGAGCGCGGTGAGCTTGTGTGACCTAAGTCTGTGTCTGTTCACCCCACCACCTTCTTCTTTTTGTTTTTAAGATTAACGGGATCGAGGTCCGGAACCGTGAAGAGGCCGTGGCTCTTCTAACCAGTGAAGAGAACAAGAACTTTTCCTTGCTCATTGCAAGGCCCGAGCTCCAGGTGAGTCAGCTTCTCGAGCACAGCGCTGGCTCTGATTTCTAAACCCAGAACCTGGGCTCCTGTCCCCGCGGAACCCGCCCGAGTGCCAGGTCTGCACCTGGAAGGTGCCCTCGCTGTGCGAATTGGAGTCGGGTTTGTGTGCAGCCGTTTCCGGCCGGCAGTCACACCGCAGGCCCCGCAGGTGCCTTAGCGCAGGGGCCGAATGGGGACAGACCGGCGGTGAATGGAGGGCAGCAGGGTCATCACCATCACGAGGTTTGACCTCAAGACCTGAGCGACGTCTCGCCGAGATCTGTGTCTCTCACAGTTGCGGGGGGCACAGCCTGTGCCTGGACCTGGTAACACTGCCTTGGCCCCTGGAAATTTGCTAAGAGGGTGAATTTCAGGGGCTCTTATTGCAAAAATGCGTAACAGGGAGATGACGTTAATTAGCTTGACTATAGGAATGATCTCAGTAGGGTTATCAAATCTGGTATATACCTCAAACATAGTCCAATCTATTTATTTTTTTAATGAAGGAACCGAGGTGACTCCCTCTCCACGGGGCCTGATGGGGCCTCTTCAGGAACGTAGCAACTTGGAATAAAATCTGGCCTCTGGGTTTTGGGTGCGAAGGTGATGCGTGAGGTCCTTGGCCTGCCTTTGGCCGCTCACTTATAAACGAAGGAAGGAAGGAGAGATTGGTCAACGAAGTTTTTATTAAAACGAAAAAAAAAGGCAGGTTTTGGCACATGGGCTGGCGATCAAGGGCCCCTGAATAGTCTGCTGTTTTTCAGACAGGGAAGAGGGGCCTGCTGGGCTGGTGAGGGGCCCGGGATGCAGGGCCCGCTCCCCCCGGGCCTTTCCCTCGAACGTAGCTGGGGGAGGAGCTTCTCCCTGCGAGGGTAGAGCAGTGGGCACGGAGACGTCCCCAGACGCGGGCAGTGCTCCCAGGCGTCCTGCCCTCAAAGCAGCAGGCAGACTTCCCTACACGATTCTTCCCCAAGGAAATCTTCTCTTAAAAGAATACACATCAATTAAAAATATGCACTAATTAAATGAAAGCGAAAGGACTCTCTTCTGAGGTGTGTGTTGGCTGCTGCTTTTACCCAGCTGGACGAGGGCTGGATGGACGAGGACAGAAACGACTTCCTGGACGACCTGCACATGGACATGCTTGAGGAGCAGCACCACCAGGCCATGCAGTTCACCGCCGGCGCGCGCCCGCAGGTGAGGCCCCCCGCACCCCCCGCCCCCCGCGCCCCCCACTGCCCCCCGCGCTCCCCGCCCCCCCGCGCTCGCAGGTGAGGCCCCCGTGCCCCCCGCGCCCGCAGGTGAGGCCCCCGCCGCCCCCTGCCTCCCTCTGACATGCTCAGGACGGTGGGGCCCCAGCTGGGAGGCAGCGGGACACTCAGTGCCTGTCCTCTGGCCCCGAGTGAAGCGCCAGGTCCGCGCTCGGGGGAGGCGCAGAGGCACCGCGGCCTGTGTGCTGGGAGAATGTGGGGGCGGCCCCGTGGCGCAGAGCAGATCCCCCGAGATGTTCCTTCGTCCTTCTGGGCCACCAGCTCTGTCCTGGCCACGCCCACGGCCCGGGAGCCAGACAGGCTCTGCTTCCCAGGCTCATTCCCCAGTTGGGTGACCGTCACCCTCGCCCTTCAGATGGCCTCAGTGGTCGCCCAGGTCGGTCTGGCTAATTCCCAGACCGTCTTTGCCCTGACGTGCTGAGTGGCAGAGGCCTGCCCTACCTCAGACCCTTGTCCTGCAGGAAAAGATCACAGACAGCGCCCGGCCAGTGTGGCTCAGTGGGCGGAGCATCCTCCCATAGACGGTGTGGTCCGGGTTCGATTGCTGGTCAGGGCACATGCTGGGGTCGCTGGCTCCATCCCCAGTAGGGGGCTTGCAGAAGGCAGCTGATCAGTGTTTCTCTCTCTCTCCCTTTCTCCCCCTCTAAAAAATCAATAAAAATATTTTTTAAAAAAATCACAGGCAGCACCCTGGCCGGTTTGGTTCAGTGGTGAGAACCTCAGGATGTGGACCAGAGTCGTGGGTTCAGTCCGGTCAAGAGCACAGACCTTGGCTGTGGTTGGGTCCGACCCTGGTTGGGGTGGTGCAGGAAGCAGCCAGTCGATGTTTCTCTCTCTCCCCCGCCCTCCCTCCCACTCTACCTGAAGATAAATGGAAAAAAATATCCTCAGGTGAGGATTAAAGAAAATCACTGGTCGCTGCACCTGGGTGCCCTCACCATGACCATCTGTCTTGTGTTCGGTGGCGCAGAAGCAGCATGAAGAAGACGGGGGGACCACGGACACGGCCACCGTCCTGTCCAACCAGCACGAGAAGGACAGCGGTGTGGGCCGCACGGACGAGAGCACGCGCAACGACGAAAGCTCGGAGCAGGAGAACAACGGTGACGAGGCCCCCGTGGCCACCGCCCTGGCCGGGCAGAGGACGCGCACGTGCAGCCAGGACACGCTGGGCAGCGGCGACCTGCCCTTCGGCGGTGAGTCACTGCTCTGGGCGGACTGTGCCGACGCGGCCGAGTGTGAGCGCTTCCGGCAGCTGCTGGAGCTCAGGTACCCAGAGCGCAGCGCCCCCGAGCGCGCCGACGGGGAGCTGGGGCTGCTGGACGCCGAGCTGCTGGAGCTCAGGTGCGCGGAGCGGGGCGCGGACAGCGGGGCCCAGGACAGTGTGGACAGGGAGCTGGAGCTGCTCAACGCCGAGCTGCGCAGCCTGGAGCTGGAGTGTCTGAGCGTCGTGCGCGCGCACCGGGCGCGGCAGCTGCGCGAGGCCTGGACGCTGCACCCCGGGGGCCTCCGCGGCTGCGACGGGGACCCGGACGGCCGCAGGCGCGAGCTCTCGGACATCACCGAGCTCCCGGAGAAGTCGGACAAGGACAGCTCCAGTGCCTACAACACCGGCGAGAGTTGCCGGAGCACCCCGCTCGCCCTGGACATGTCCCCCGACAGCTCCCTGAGGAGAGGGGCCGCGGGGGCCTGCGGGCCATCCCCCGACAGCCCGCTCTGCATCACCGAGGACGCGGACCTTCGCGGGGCCCCGCAGAGCCCTGAGCGCAGCCCCGGTGAGGGCCCGGGCCCCGCGCCCCCCGCGCACGCGCCCCACAAGCTGGCCCACATCCCGGCGCACGCGCGGCGCTACCGCAGCTACATGCAGCTGGTGCAGCAGAAGTCGGCGGTGGAGTACGCGCACAGCCAGGTGAGCCTGCTCGGCGTGTGCAAGGACCCGGGCCCCGGCAGCCCGCCCGAGCCCCGCGCCGAGTGGAAGGTGAAGGTGCGCAGCGACGGCTCGCGCTACATTACCAAGCGGCCGGTGCGGGACCGCCTGCTGCGGGAGCGCGCGCTGCGCATCCGCGAGGAGCGCAGCGGGGTCACCACGGACGACGACGCCGCCAGCGACATGAAGCTGGGCCGCTACTGGAGCCGCGAGGAGCGCAAGCGGCACGTGGCGCGCGCCCGGGAGCAGCGGCGGAGGCGCGCGCTCCTGCTGCAGAGCCGGCTGGACGGCCCCAGGGAGCAGCCCGCGGACGACGACCGGAGGGAGGTGAGCATCCTGGAGCTGAGCCACAAGAAGATGATGAGGAGGAGGAACAAGAAGATCCTGGATAACTGGATGACCATCCAGGAGCTGCTGACTCACGGCGCCAAGTCCCCGGACGGCACCAGGGTGTACAACTCCTTCCTCTCGGTGACCACGGTGTGAGCACCGCGCGGAGTCAGCGCCCCCGGGGGGGCGGGCGTCCTGCCTGGCTGGGCGGGCACGTCTGTGTGCGAGCGTCCTTGCTGGCCCACCGCGCCTGCGGCCCCGCTGCACTCGCGGTGGAGAGGCCGGGCCGGACTGCCCGGAAGGCATGTGACACTCGCCTCTCCCAGGTAGCAGTGGTACTTTCTTACTTGTTCCCTTTTACATAAAGTGTTTAAATGTCAGAAAGATCTTTTTACTCAGCATACTTTCACAGAACGATTTGTTTAAACTATATTCATATAAAAAAGTTAAACACGCTTTTTCTCTGCTGAAAACACAAATGCAACTGCCAGTGTGTATTTTTAAAGGACCCTGTTTTGTAACGTTACTTTGCTGAATGTGTTTCATGTGAGTGACCATTAATATATTGTCTAGGCCAGGGCTTCGACTCCAGACCACCAAACCAGTGAAGAACTTAACACACAACAAACCAGCCGTGTTTGAGTGTGTGCGTCAACTCCAGCCCTTTCTGGTTCAAGTTCCCAAGCGAGGGTGAAGGTTCAGGCAGGAAGCCGAGCGTCTGCAGCTCGCGGAGCTCCAGTGCGTGTTTGCGAACATTGCGGCCGGGGAGCCCGCCCAGGAGCTGGGCAGCGGTGTGTGGAGCTAAGAGCCCTCCCCACAGACCTTCGCCGTGTGGGTCTGAAGGGACACGCCCCGCAGGGGCAAGTTCACGGAGTCACGATTACTTACCAACACAGCAGAATGAAGTTAAAATAAATTATTTTCTGTTCGCTATGTTTTGAGGTGATCTCTCGTTTTCCAGTGGTGCCTCGGAAGTAAAGCCGTAGGCAGGGTCTGTTCTCTCCCCGCGTTGCTGCTTCTCAGACCGGAACGCCCTCGTTCTGCCCGGGCTGACAGGCAGGTGTGAAACCGGGTCTGTCGGCGAAAAGCAGGACTCGAACCAGCACATAAGCCTGCATTCCGGCGTCCATCTCGCCGGAAGCCTCACCTGGCCCAGTGTCCCAGCAACAGGAAGGACTAGGAGCAGGTGTGGGCGGGGGCGGGGGCGGGGTCAGGATGAGATCTCACTGGGGCTGCGGCACCGCCTGGTGGTGGTAACACCGTGGTGACCGGCCCAGCTTCCCGTGGTCGTCTGAGGTCACATGGTATTTTCACAGAACAGCAGGGGTCACCAAGGGGGTGGGCTTGAAGACTGGCATCTTTACAACTCAGCACCCCCAGGATCCTACATCATGAATTTGCTATAAATTGTTCTCTGGTTACAAAGTTCGCAACAATTCCAGTGATAATCCCTACGGGAAAAAACAAAAAGTAAAGATTGGGTGACGAAGGGTATCATTTGATGATGCCAAGCATCTCAGACATAGATGCCTCCCACAGAACCCATTTCAACCAAAATTCCTCCTTTGGGGCCAAACTCGTGAGTAATTAGTGGTCACACGTGCAGCAGAACCAGTTAACGAAAACAAGACCCTGGATTCTTACTCGTCACGGTTAAGACGCCGTCGTCCGTGGCCTCTCTGAAAACCAGCCCTGTGAAGAAAGTGACGGCTGCTACGTCCCCACAGGTCCGCGGCCAGGGCCCTGGTGTCCCCTTGGCTCCCTGGAGCCGCCCCCGCCCCCGCCCCCGCTCTCCGGAGCACAAACATCAGGCAGGTGAGCTGGAAGTGCCGCAAGGCGCACACCGTGTCGGTGTCTCGGGACGTAGCTTTGCTCGCTTGTCTGGTCTCATAAAAGACGGGGGATGGGATACACGAAGCGGCCTCTTCAGAGTCAAGCAGGGGGGCTTCTAATCAGGACTCCCCCTGTGCTTCTGGACTGGGGGTCACCTGTGGTACTGGTGACATGTCCATCCAAGTCCAGGTCCTTCCACGCCAACCGAGGTTTAAATCACTGTATCATGTACAATGTGGTACACGGCTTCCCAGATCTAATGTAGGAAATCAACTCATAAAAGAAATTGGAAGAGACCTTAGAAATCATCACTTTATGGGTGAGCAGGAGACAAATGTGGCGTATTGATGAGCCCGGGGGTTGGAGGGAGACCATTCCTCGCTAGGTGTCTGCTGTGTCCTCCCGGGTGCCCCTCCCCCCTCAGTCCCTGGCTACGGTGACCCCACTTTCTTCGATGAATGGCCCCCCAGAGGGACTCACTCCTGCTGGACGCCGGCCGTTGGGGGAGGGGCTGAGCCACAAAACCTCTTCCCTCTTGCGGCTTCAGGAGGGTTTGAACCCAGGTCTCCAGAGATGAAAGTTAACGTACACAACCTGCTCCCCCAGGACCCTTCTCGTAATCTCATTCCAGGGTGGCCTGGTGCGCGCTGGCCTCTGTCGGGCCTGCTGAGGGACTCGGGGTCGCTGGCCGGTCAGGGACCTGTGGTCGGGAGGGGCGGCCGTCAGGCAGCCTCTGAACCCTGCGGGGGAGGATGTTTCTGTCAAATCTGACCCTGGCTTTCCCGCTGGAATCACAGGGCAAATGCTGCCAGTCCTGTCTGCTCCCACCAAGAGGAAGGACCCAGGAAGGGGCCTCCTTGTTCAGGCAGATCCCGCCGAAGTGGCTATGTTCTAAGTAACACTGCTGTTGGAGTAGGCGCCGTTTTGAATGTTTCTCAGACATGTTCACGAAGTGTGCGAGGTCGCACAGGAGGTGGTGGTAGAGCCAGGACACAGACGGCACCTTGCGTGCTGACCGAGGGACATGCTGGATCGACCCCACGTGGACAGGTTTCAGTACGCCAGGAGTACTATCTGGATATGGGTTTGGGCATTTTCAAAGTTAATTCATTGCCCAAAGTTTCCCAGACTTTCGCAGAAGTCTGGTTCCAAGGTCCACACACGGATTAACCTTGGTCGCAAACCTGTAAGGTGACTTACTTTCCCAAAGCTGTTTTCCCTAGAACGATAAAAATGGGCGTTTGGGGTTCTAAGTCGGTTCCAGGAGCAGATCAGCACCCTGGGGTAACTGGATCCCGCCTCCTCGTCTTGGCAGAGGACCTGTGGTGTTTGCCTGGCTGGTGTCCGTCACCCCTCCTTGTCCTTGGACCCCACGTGGCCCCACCCTGTCCCCACAGGCAGTCACGGTGTCCTGCCGTCGCGCAGGCGAGGGCGAGTCCCGGACCCGAGCTGACCGGCGGACACTCCCCAAAGGGCTGCAACGCAGACCCCTGGCAGGACGGCTGTGCCGGTGCAGCCCCGGGACTGCAGCTGTCCCGCCGCCATGGTGAGCCGTGGGCGTGCGCTGGATCGGGCCGGCGCTGGGCTCTGCGGAGGCGCCTGCGTGCCTGCGTGGCAGCTGCCAGTGTGCGTGGCCTCGGTGGGGACGCTGGCTCTGCTCCTGGGTTTGCTGTGAATGTTCTGTAGCTTCTGTGGTACGTTTCTCTGTGGAGTTTATTTTGTGTGGTGTGTGAGGTTCGGGTCACGGCTGCTGGGACGTCCACGCTCTGGCTCCGCGTGTGGGGAAGGAGCCTCCACGGACACTGTGTGCACCTTGGGGAGGAATGCACTGCACACTGTGGGTCTGTTTCTGGGACCCTTGTTCTGTGCTGCTGGTCAAAGTGCCCCTCCCTCCGCCACGGCGCACCCTCCGGTGCCGGACCCCGGCAGTGAGCTTCGGCCCCGGTACATCTCCCCTCGTTCTGCCGGGCCTTTATCTAAACGCGAGAACCAGCTGGTCTAGGCCAGGACTTTGATAGGAATGAACAAACCCTATAAGTCTCTTTAGGCAGAATTAACATCTTTAATATGTTGAGTCTGACAACCCCTGGACATATTTTAATTTGTTCGAGAGAATCAGTGATGACTCGTGGAAGCACCTGTGTGACCGTCTCTTGGGCTGGCCACGTCCAGCCACGTCCACCTCACCTCAGCACCGGCCACCTGACCGCCTCCCCTCGTCAGCGTCTTCTTGGGTCCTCACTCCGTCCAGACTCTCTTGACTCGATCATACGTCCCCTTGTCTGGCGTAGTGTCCTGGTCTGGCCGCCTTTCCTGAGCTGTCGTTCCAAGGACAGTCGAGTGTTTTCAGCCCTGACAATGCTGATGTCCGCTTTGCTGTCCTGTGTCTCCGGGTGCTGCCGGGGTTGGAGACTCGGGGGGGGGGTGCTCCTGTGTCTCCAGGTGCTGCTCAATGGGACTTGAAGGTTTCTGGGCCTCAGGACAGAGTGTGTCCAGGCCTGTCCAGGTGCAGGGGGCTTCTCACTGCCTGTGTTTCTGTAGGAGGAGGGCCTTCTGCCTGGGGGCCGGGGCAAGGGTCAAAGGTCTGGCTCACCTCTGCTGCTGGGTGGACCTGGGGTGGGGTGGAGGGGGTTCCACCTGCCCAGGGTCCCTGTTGGTGCCTGAGGAGGTAGAAGGGTTGTGCCCGGAGCCCTGCTGGAGCTGATGCCGCGGGGGGGTCAGGCGGCATCGCCACAGGGGAAGGGTCACCCTTCTGCGTCCCTGACGGGGACTTCGGCCAGAGCAGGACTTTCTCGTCGTCGTTCGGTCTGTGTCTGCGGAGGGCTGGGCCGGAGGCTCTCCCGGGCACTGTCGGGACGGGTGGGAGGTGGACAGAAAACCCGGGAGCTCAGCGGTTCCTGCAGGGGCGGAGGTCCTTCCTCGCTCTCCCTGAGGGTCACCTCTGAGTGATTTCTGCAGTATTTTGTTGTGTTCAGAGGACACATGTGGAGAACAGTGACCGGGGTGGGGGCCTTTTCCCTGCGAGGGCCATTTGGATACTTGTAACGTCCTTCCCCGGCCGCACAGAACTATCAGCTTACACATTAGCTGCGGTTTGCTCACGCTGATTTGTGAGGCTGTGATGGGACCGGGTACTGATTTCGTCGTCCTTGAGTGGCCAGTGGGCCAGACGTTCCCCATCCTGGTCTCACCATCTCGTTACCCGTCTGTCCCTAGTCTCTGCCTGTGTCCCCTCTGCTAGTGTCCTGCTCCCGAGGCGGCCACTGGGTGGGTCTGCTGTCAGGGGAGGGGTCCGCCGGACCACGGTGGGCAGGTGCCAGCCGCCCC